CCGCTAAGAGGGTTTTGCGTTATCTTGCTAGTACATCAAGCATGGGGTTAGTGCTAGGAGGACGTGGGCCAGTGGTCCTTACTGGACACACAGACGCTTCTTGGGCAGACGACACCGAGACACTCAGGTCTACCCAGGGCTACTGCTTCAGCCTTGGCTCAGGTGCCGTCTCGTGGAGAGCTACCCGCTCCTCGTCTGTTGCCCAGTCCAGCTGTGAGGCCGAGATCTACGCTGGTGCCATGGCGGCACAGGAGCTCCGCTGGCTGACCTTCTTGCTCACTGACTTAGGTGAGCGGCCTAGCTCTGCCCCGGTCCTGTTCGCTGACAACAGGGCCATGATCCTCCTGTGTCAGGAGCCTCGACTCGAGGGCAGAGCGAAGCAGATTCAGATGCGGTACTTCCTCCTGCGCGAGCTACAGCAGCGACTCCAGGCTCGCGTAGTACACTTGGCCTCAGGTGCCAACACAGCTGATATCTTTACGAAGGCGCTTGCGCCTAAAGATCATAAGCGGCACTGTGTACAGCTTGGTCTAGTTCCTGTAGCCTCTCACTTGCTAGGGCCTTGACTTTGTACTGCTCTTTATATGTGTACTCAGACTGGACTTGTGACCTCTCCCAGTGGCTGGACTAGTAGTGCCGCCCTGGGCTTGTTCTTGCCTTGTCTGTACTTCTTCTGACTGGTCTTTTAGACCCTTGTCTCAGCGGCTAGACTAGTAGTGCCGCCCTGAGCTACTTGTTCAGGACCTGCCCCTATGCAGTCTAGGGGGTGTGTCAAACATGTGTATCTCCTATCTTTGTATAGACTGTATAGGGCCATCTCTTAGAGGGTACAACACTTACCGTAATCCCCGGTATAAAGCACCCTATGGTGTTAATAAAAATGCAGCAAAATTTTGGGCTGGGTGTAATTAAAGGCCAAAAAAATAAAACACCCAGGAGTTATGGAATGTGCGTATGGTTTTTATAATTGGAATTCAAGTGTGCCTGTTTCACCACATTCATTTGAGTCAGATACCCACTTTTGGTCATCTCATTGCATACTGGACGATATTCCCGATCTGCATGCCACATTGGCAGTGAGCATGCAGTGTCAGGGAGGATGCTGTCAGAACAACCAACGAGCTTACGTTTAATTTGGCGGGACGCGCGAAAGTTGAGTACAGTCTCAAACTTTCGGATTTGTTTTCGTTCGGGCAGATTCGTCTCTTACCTAAGAGCGTAGCCTCTTCCCAAGGAACCTTCCCAGGCTCGCGAGCTACAGTGTCGCGAATTCTGACGCGAAATGTTTTAGTGCTGTTCCATAAGGTGCAACGTCAGGTACAGCCTGCCGAGATTCATGGGCATGTTTCAAAACCTTTGTTCAGGCGACATTGTTTCCGACACGCGGGAATCTGTACAGTAAATTTTCGACGCGAGCAGTTTTGTTTTTGGGATTGAGCCGCGGAACGATGCAATACGAAATTCTGGCGTTTCCTGCTAGAAATGGAGATTCTAGTGGCAGGGGGGTGTTCAAATGTTTTCACGTCCGAGAGTAGGGTGTTGTGTATATCCAGAAAAAATAAACACCCATACCTGCTCAAGCTACCCGGGGGAGCTTAATTCCGTCGGGTGTTTTATACAGGGGATTACGGTAGGTATATTCACGTGTACTCTCTCTCTACTCAATCATTCAGTTCTCTCTTTGATTAACACATCTACTTTTACACGGATTCGAGACGATAATTACACGATGAAGCACACAACTTAAAAATAGGAGGGATCTCTTAGAAACTTAGGACTCAAGGTTCTTAAACTTAGGAGGCTAGTTGGCTAGGATACTAGCAAGAAGGCCGCCATGGAATGGCGTGAGGAAAACGGATCTAGGAGGGGAGAGTATGTCGAGAAGAAAGGGAGTTGGATTAGGAAGGAAGAGAGGTACAAGGAGGGGATTGTACCCTCTAGAGAAAGGTTCAGTAACAACCTACCAAGCCTATACTAAATTATAACTTATATAATTTTAACACACCCCCTAGGCTTGGTAGTCACACACCCACCCAACCCACCCCCTAACCCCGCACACCCTCAAGCTCGTGCTTAGCCGGGTATCTGACCCTCGTGCAAAGCGTTGACACACCCCCGTACACGAGGCAGCCGACGGCGTCGGGGCGGGTCAGCGACAAACAGCAGCGGAGCTCTGGCTCAAGGCGGCTGGGTCGCTGACGACAGGCGGCGACACCCGCGGCCGAGGGCTCTCGGCGGTGTGGCAACATCCGGGCAGAAGACAGCAGCTGCGACAGGAGGAAGGGAAGACGCAGGGGGGAAGGGAGAATTGGGGGGGGGGGGGGGCGGGGCGGGGCGGGTCTTCAGCGTCGCGCCATAAATGGCGCGGCGCTTACTGGCAGGACGACGGCATCCTGAGGGACGCCCGTGGCTGGCGAGCGGGCGGCAGGCCCGGCGACGCCAACGACGTCGCTTGGCCTGCCGCAGACGAAAGACGCCATCGACTGCCCTAGACGCCGCCACAGCGCACCGTCAATGCCGCAGCGGCGAGGCGGACGGGCGACGGCTGCACCAAAGGGCCGTCGCGACATCTTGGCGCCGCGACGGCAGGTAACAAGGGGCCGTCGCGACATCTTGGTGCCGCGACGGTAGGCAACGAGGGGCCGTCGCGACACCTTGGTGCCGCGACGGCAGGCAACAAGGGGTCATCGCGACATCTTGGTGCCACGACGGCAGGCAGGCAGAAAACCGCGAAGGCTGCATTCGCAGCAGGAGTACGCAACGGGAACGTAGGGAGAGGGTCCGGTGGACACGACCGGCTCTGATACCATCTTAGAAACTTAGGACTCAAGGTTCTTAAACTTACCGGTAGGAGGCTAGTTGGCTAGGATACTAGCAAGAAGGCCGCCATGGAATGGCGTGAGGAAAACGGATCTAGGAGGGGAGAGTATGTCGAGAAGAAAGGGAGTTGGATTAGGAAGGAAGAGAGGTACAAGGAGGGGATTGTACCCTCTAGAGAAAGGTTCAATAACAACCTACCAAGCCTATATTAAATTATAACTTATATAATTTTAACAGGATCCAGTTCCCACTGAGTGCAAAGTTTGGTTTTGAAACATAAGCAGATGAGCGGGCGTGAGCGCCAATTTTTCCTAGGCAAGAACAAGACACACAATGCAGCACAACCTAGAAAACCCCTAACAGTCTAGCTAGGAACAGCCAGGGGGCTCTAGCCTAGGCGTTATTCACCTCCTTTTCCATGCACCTAGGCGTTATTCACCTTCCCCACCTCCCATAGTCCTGCTTCCCCCCCTCCCATAGCCCTCCTCCCTCCCCCAAAGAGAGCCTGGATCTCCCCTACCCAGGGAGAGGGCAAGGGAGACAGGAGTACAGGAGAGGGGAGCATGGGAGAGGGGAGTACGGCAGAGGGGAGCATGGGAGAGGGGAGAACGGGAGAGAGGAGCATGGGAGAGGGGAGTACGAGAGAACCCACCTCCCAGCCCACCAGAGCCCACATTCCCCCCAACCAGGACCCACCTCCCCTCCCACCAGAATCCACCTTCCCCCCCACCAGAGCCCACCTTCAGAAGAGCTGGGGGGATAGAGGTGGGCAGAGCAAGGGTAACGAGGGAAGGGAGTCGGAGGAATTATGACGTGAAGTAGGCGTGAGAGAGGTAGCCAGTGGGAGGGGAAGATAGGTGCGCAGAGCGGGGGAGAGTGAGGTGGGCTGCGGCGGAGAGAGAGATGGGCGGAACGCGGGAGAGAGAGAAGGGCAGTGTGAGGATAACAGGGGATATAGGGATATGGTGGGAAGGTTGGGAGGGATAACAGGGGGAGGGGCACGCGGACAAGGCAAGAGCTTGAGTGAGGGAATGGACCAATGAGCTACGCAAAGGGAAGGGCGCGGGGATAGGAAGGGAGGGAATTGGCGACGGGAAGACATGGGATGGCCGGCGAGGATGGGAAAGGGAGGGGAAAATGGGTGCTGGGGGGAAGCGGGGACGCGGGAAAGCGGAAAGCGGGACCGCGGGAACGCGGGAACGCGGGCTAGCGGATTGGGCGGAAAGCGGAAAAGCAGTGGCAGCTTGAGTGCGGGAAATCGGGGAGGCGAATGCAGGCAGATGCAGTGGGCGGGGCGGAAAACAGGGAATGCGGAAGAGTGGGAAAGCGGGGCAGCGCTCTCGCAGCTGCTGCGAGGAGCAGGGAGTGGGAAGCGAGGCAACGGGCGAGGTACTTGGGCGCACCGGCGAGGAAATGCCTTAGAGCTTGCTAATAAGGTCTTCGCGTGGCGCGCCCTAAAATGATAGTGTGGCATGCAGTGAAGTGGGCGATTAGGTACGAAATCAATGGTCGCATAACGTAACGGAGATGCGGCAGGTAGCTGTCGCCCACAGAGTTACGGGAACAAGTAAACGTTACTAATAAGCCGCACCTTTCCCGTGAATGACAAAATAGGAGGTAAGCGCTCTATTAGGGAGAGAGAATGGTGGGGAAGGAGCCATGGCTACTGAGTAGAGAGTAAAAAGCAAAAGCTTTTGGTCTTGGTGTGGCGGGGGGAGAGGCTTTCCTTGTCCTGTCGCTGGGTTGGTGGTGAGTCGCATAGCCAATCAAAATCTTCCCAAGTCAAAATCGCACCCCTCCTGCCGGTATTTGGTTACCGTGTTTGTTTCGCGTTAGTTTTCGTGCGTCGGGGGACTCAAAACCTTTGACTCTTGAGTTTGGTCTGTACGCTCGCTTTAAGAACATTCTATTTCAACTAACTAAATGCTGAATGAAACTATTTAGGGATTTCGGACTATACTACCCACACACCAACTAGTGTTCCCTGTTGCGGAGGCGGCCTGCGGCGAGCTAGTATCGTCACGGCAAGCAGCGACATCTCAGCGACCACTGTTACGGTATGATGGCCAGGCCCGCGAGGCACGCCATTGCGGGCGAAGAGGCACGGCGAGGGTCCACTAGCGCATGGGCGCGCACCGCATCGGTAGTGGGCGCTACCGTTAGCACGCCGTGCGGCGCTGGCGTTGACGAGAGCGGGCCTGGATTAGCAGCCACCTTCCTCTGCTCGTGACACCCACGTGCAACCGCCTCGTCCGCTGCCACTTTCCAGTCACCCGCGCCCGTGCTCCCGCGCTGGACTGGCGGCTGCGGGGTATTGCCGCGTGCGAGAACGAGAGACGCGGGGGGCAGAGAGGGGTTGCGGCGCGGGCGATGGGCGACGAGGTGATTCGCGTGGCGCGCGCGGCGCTGTGGCGGTGCCTCAAGTGCCCGCTGTGCGGGCAGCTGTGCCGCCACGCCACCACCGTCATGGAGTGCCTCCACACCTGTACGCCCCGAGCTGCTCTCCCCTCCCTCCCCTCCCTCCCCTTCCTCCGTTCCCCCACGTCTCCCCGCAATCACTACTCCGCCAGTGTCCGGCGATCCGCCGCCATCAAGCGCCCGCCTTTCGCAGTGCTGGTGCTCCGCACCCCATCCCACCCACCCACGCCCCCGCTGCCTTTTGCTGCAAACCCAAACCCCCGTCCCTTTCCCTCTGTGCCCTCCCTTCCCCTTCCCCTTCCCCTTCCCCTTCCCCTTCCCATTCCCCTTCCCATTCCCCTTCCCCTTCCCATTCCCCTTCCCATTCCCCTTCCCCTTCCCCTTCCCCTTCCTGCACTTGGGCCAGTCTGCCGCGAATGCATAGAGGGCGCGGTGGAGGACGGCCGCGACAACAGCTGCCCAGAGTGCCACGTCAGCCTGGGCCACCACCCCCTGCACGCCCTCAGGTGCTCGCTTTCGCTGCCGGCCAACACCCCCCTCGAGCGCACTCCCTGGCGCCAGCCCCCACAGGCCCCCTTGAGCGGGTCGCTTCCATGTACCAGCCCCGCCCACCCATGCCTTCACCATTGCGCCCTTCCACTCCACCCATGCCACCCATGCCATCCATGCCACGCCATGTGTTTCCGCCATCCATCACCCTGCAGGTATGACCGCCAACTGGCAGACATAGAGGAACGAATCTTCCCAGAAATTGCCTTGTTCTGCCAGCAGCAGAGGTTAAGGCAACAGGAGGAGGAGGAGAGAGAGAAGGGAGAAACAGAGAGGGGTGTGGGGAAAGTGGAGGAGGAGGAAGATGTGGAGGAAATGGTAGAAGAGGGGGAAGAGAATGGGGAGGATGATGAGGAGGGGGATGGGGAGGAAGGGAAGGAGAAAGAGGAGGGGGAGGAGAGGGAAAAGAGGAGGGGGGAGGAGCAGGAGTGCGAGGCACAGCAGCAGCAGAAGCAGGGCGATGCGCTTGCAGAGCGGGTAGTCGAGTGTGGTGGATCGTTGCCATGGCGCATGGCGGATGGTGGGCAGCACCTGCATGGGCTGCCGCCGAGAAGAGAAGCCACAGAAGGCGCATCGCAGCAGTGCGGGCATGGGGAGGGGTCGTTGTTGCTGCAGCGGCGGGGCAGTGAGCCAGGGTAAGCAGAGCGCGATGCGAGCAACAGGCAGTTCAAGGGAGTGCACAGTGGTTTGGAGGGTTATTCTAGCAAGGAGCGAGGCAACCAGTTGGCGTGCACGTGTTCCTGGTGCACTCAGCGCCTGTCCGCCATGTGCTGGTGCACTCAGCGCCTGTCCGCCATGTGCTGGTGCACTCAGCGCCTGTCCGCCATGTGCTGGTGCACTCAGCGCCTGTCCGCCATGTGCTGGTGCACTCAGCGCCTGTCCGCCATGTGCTGGTGCACTCAGCGCCTGTCCGCCATGTGCTGGTGCACTCAGCGCCTGTCCGCCATGTGCTGGTGCACTCAGCGCCTGTCCGCCATGTGCTGGTGCACTCAGCGCCTGTCCGCCATGTGCTGGTGCACTCAGCGCCTGTCCGCCATGTGCTGGTGCACTCAGCGCCTGTCCGCCATGTGCTGGTGCACTCAGCGCCTGTCCGCCATGTGCTGGTGCACTCAGCGCCTGTCCGCCATGTGCTGGTGCACTCAGCGCCTGTCCGCCATGTGCTGGTGCACACAGTGCGGCTGTGCCCTTGGGCTCACCACCTTGCTGCCTCAGTGCCTGTGCCTCCCGCCCGCACCTTTTGTGGCTTTCCACCACTCCCAACCATGTGCTCCCCCTCCTGCCCGCTCTCTCCCCACCCCACCACCCATACCGTGGTCCGTGGCACCATGGCAGGGCTACGGGCGCCTTACATGCTGCAGCGAGGGAGCCCCCCACGCCCACTGCTGAAGTGCTTCAACTGCCAGTGAGCCCTCGCCTCCACCCAAGATACGCACGCGCAATCTGCTACTTTTTAACATGAACTTATCCACTTTAACTCGTCTTCTATGTGCCGTCCCTTTTATCGCCTCGACAATTTCGTCACCTCATCTGTGTTCTCGAGTGCACGCTGTGCCATGCTTTCCTGCTCACCATGCTCTCATCTCTTCCTCCCGCGCGTGCCCGGCGCCACCTCGCTCCTCCCCTTTGCCTGCAGCTTGTGCTACAGCTGCTAAGCCAGCTGCAGCAGCTGCACAGGCAGTGTGGCGAGGTGATCGAGAGGGGGATAGTAGGGAGGGGGCATAGAGGCGTGGCCATTGCAGGGGACAGGGGCGAGCAGCAGCAGCAGGCTGCAGGTGCTGTGGGCGGGGCGGACGTGGGCAGGCTGGGTGGCGAAAGTTGTAAGGACGGGGTGGGGGGGAGTGAGCAGGTGGCGGTGCGTGTTGCACTGGAGACAGGGGCGAGTGCAGGAGGAGAGAGAGTGTGTGGAGCGGCGGAGCCTGATGGGGATGCAGGGGAAGGCCGAGGCGCAGTGGAGGGAGAGGGAGTGGAGGTGGGGGGCGGTGGTGTGGTGCGTGCATGGAGGCAGATAGAGCGGGAGCAGCAGGCGGTGATGCAGCGACTCATGGCCGTGTGCCGTGCACATACAGCAGATGGCGGAGGGGGGGAGGGAGAAGATGGACGAGGCCAGGGAGGAGCAACGAAGGTGGGGGAATGCAGAGAAAGGCACAGCGGCGAGGGACGAGGGGAAAGGGGAGTGGAGGAGGAGGCATGGATGAGAGGTGAACGAGGAGCGGGCGTGGGAGGGAATGAAGTGCACAGGAATGAGGGTGGCGAGGTGGGGACGTCCAGGGGAGGAAAGGAAGGCAGAGTGAGTGATATGGGACGAGGGAGGAGTGAGTGTGATGTGGCCAGTAGTGGGGCAGCTGACCTGCAGAGGGGAGAAGGAGCTACGGACAGTGACGGAAGGGAGGATGGTAGGCTAGGGTGGGCGGAGGGGAAGTCGAAGTGTGATGAGAGGAGTATAGAGCTTTCTGGGGGTGGTGAGCAGCGAGAACGTGGCACGGGGAGTGGCAGTGGGGTTGAGAGACGAGGCCTTGGAGTGAGGCGAGAGGGCCCGGAGGAGTCAACGGAGCACCATGGGGAGAGGGCAGGCACAGGCAAGCAGGAGAGGGATGAAGTAGCTGGGGAGCGAACCAGTCCAGAGGGATTGAGTGCAGCAGCGCAGGATGGGCTTGCAGCGGCGATGGGGGGGGGCAGCTGCCACCTTGCATGTGGTGCAGACACGGAGGCGAGAGGGGCAGGGGGTGTAAAGGGAGGGCGGGGTGGGTGGAAGGCGAGTGGTGTAGGGAAGAGGGCGAATGACGAGGGGGTTGGGGCAGGAGTGCAGAGCAACGTGCCCGGCAGGCATGGCGGGGGCAAGCGGCAGAGGGTGGTGCTGGGAGGGTTGGATGTGGGCATCGTGGGGTGTGCAGGCAGGGACTCTGGCATGGGCGATGTGGTGGCGGGGGGGCTGCTGCGCGGTGAGTTGCATAGCGGCTGGGGGGACGATGCGAGCATGGGAGTGGGGGAGGGGGAGGAGGAGGAGGTGCAGGGGAGCGAGAGGTGTCTGGCAGGGGCAGAGGAGGAGATGGGGGGGGACAGGGGGCGAGAGGGGAGGGGACATGACAGGGATGAAGGAGATCGGTGCGAAGCAGTGGGAGAAGAGAATGCGGGAACAGGCAGTAATGCGGGTGGAGAGATGCCCGTGGAGGGGAGCAGGCACGGAGTAGAGCAATGCGAGGGGATGGGAGAGAGGGATGCTGAGTGGCGCATGTCCGTGGATGGGTTTGTAGAGGGGGGGAACAAGGATGTGAAAGAGGTGCAGGGGGTGCAGGAGGGGGGGCAGGTAGGGCAATGGAGCAGGGAGATGGAGGTGGACGGTCATGAGCGAGTAAGGGGGATGGTGGAGGTGGCGGGTGGTGGAAGATATGATGCCAAGAAAGTAGTGGGCAGGGGAGGCGAGGAATTGGGGGTAAGAGAGGAGGTGAGAGGGGAAGAAGAGGTGAATGGGGGACATGAGCAGGTGCAAGAGGATGGCAGGAAGACAGCAGTGGAGGAGGCAGGGGCAGAGGCGGCAGTGGCAGAGGAGACAAGGGCAGAGGCGGGAAGGGCAGCGTTGGGAGGGGCAGAGGCGGGAGGGGCCGATGGCAGTGACGAGGTGGCGGAGGTGGATGCAGCGAGGTGGCTAGCGGCAGCGGGCAGGCGGAGGAGGCGCGTGGCAGGGATGCCTATGGCGGGGCTTGAGCCTGCACTGCTGCCTACAGCGCAGGCTGGTGCAGGCGAGGTCAAGGCCGAGTGGGCTGGCATCTGGAGTGCAGGTGGCAGCACACAGGAGACGGTGGGTGCGGCGCTGGGCTGGGAGGTGGCGGTGGGAGCGGGTGGGGCTGACCAGGAGAATGGGATGCTGGTGACACATGGTGACGAGCAGGCTGGTGGGGAGGAGGTGGGTGCAGGAGGTGGAGGCGTGGTGGTGGTGGCGCAGCAACAAGGTGGTGCCAGCGGTGGTGAGCATGCTGAGAGTGGCGAGCATGGAACGCGCTCTGGGAGCGGGCTAGTGCGAGCCATGTCTCATGGTTCCCAGCACGCTGAGGGATCGCATGAGAGTATGCAGCAGACCCAGGGAGGGCAGGGAGAGCAAGGTTGTGTACAGGTGTGCGAGGCACGAGGTGGCAGCGGTGGAACAGGTGCAGTGGAGAATAGAGAGAGCACACGTGCGCATGTTGAGGGTGGTGAAGGTGGGGATGCAGGGCGTGAGAAGCAGAGGAAGACAAGGGAGGTGGCAGCGCAGGGCACAGGGGAGAGAAGGATAGAGAGGTGGCGGGACGTGGACAAGAAGGAGAAGAAAGAGATAGCAGGGGGGCGGGGAAGGTTGGAGGATGAGGGAAGTCGGTTTATAGTGGATGGTAGTGAAAGGAAGGAGGAAGCGCTGATTAACGAGGAGGAGAGGAATGAAAGATTGGATTTGGCGGGAAGAGAAGAGTGTGAGGATGCAGCAGCATGTAATGTGGCAGGTAGAGAAACGCCTGGTGTGCCGCATGCTGCAAGTGCTAGGGCATCATCTGTGGCAGCAGAGGCGGTCGTTAGGGAGATTGCAGATGGGGAGGCGGCTGAGAGCGTGGGTGGGAAGCAGGGTGTGAGGAAGGGATGGGAAGCAGCAGAGAGCAGCCAGCGCAGGCTGGTGGTTGCCATGGCGAATGGAGTGTTGAGCCATGTGCCTGCCGTGCCACTCGGTGCCATGGCACACACGCGGCCAGTCTCTTCACCTCCTGCTCTTCCTGCTCCTCCTGCTCCACCTGCTCCCCCGTCCCCTCATGCTCCCCCTTCTCCCCCTTCCCTCGATGCCCCCCCGGCTCCCCCTGACCCCCCTGCTCCTGCTGTTCTCCCCCCTCCTACTCCTTCTCCTAGTGCTCTTACTGCTCCTGCTCCTGCCTCTCCCCCTGCCCATCGCACCATTTCCCCTGCGCTTGGCGGTCCCGTGTCCAGCTGTGCGCCAGGCGCTTCCATAAATCACACACCACGCGCTGTTGCAACTGTGGTCCATGCTGCTGCTGGGCTCAATGGGGGGCAACAGCGTGAGCGAGGGGAAGTGAAGGAGAGGAATGGGGCCACAACCATTTCAAGGGAACCTGCACCTCCCCAGTCTTCTCACACCCACCCTCATGTGCCTGTGGCTCCCATCTCTTCTCCCTGCATCCTCCCCGCCTGCCCGTCACCTCCCCCTCCTTCTGCGGTCCCTGCCCCTCCCCCACTACCAACTGCCACTGCACCTCCAGCGTCCGCTGTACCTCTCACCCCAGGTGCAGGGGGGCAGCAGCAGGCAGTGCAGGCAAGCGCAGAAGCGGCAGCAGGTGCAGGGGGGCCAAGTGCGCGGGCAGGAGGAGCGGGTGACAGGGTTGCGGTGTGCACTACTGGGCTCGATGCAGTGCTGGGACTCACCCATCGACCCCAGTAGTGCGCACCCACCTGCTGCTGCTGCTCGTCTCCCCTCTCCTGCATGTCCATGGCCGGCAACTCTTTTTCACCCTGCCTGCCCTTCCCACGTATCACTCTGCTATCCGTGCCTCAGCCCGCATGCCCCACCATGACTCAGCCTTCGTGCGGCAGCAGCCACGGGTGACGACAGGATAGGTACTACTTGATGGGCCACGCCATGTGTTAGGCCACGCCATACGTGCTCATGGCCTTCCATTCCTTTTCACTGTTTGGCAGCCCAGAATCGCCAATTGTGTGGCCACTTTTGATTTTTCCAGCTCGGTAATACCATGCCCGACATGAAAAATCTCCTATAAATGGGTCTGTAGGGTACATTGAGAGAGCTGTTTAAGTTCTGGTGTCGTTTCAGAATGGAAGAGCAATCACCAAGGTGTGAATCAAGATCGAGTGAGCCTTGCGATTGCGAGATTGCCGCGACAGGTTGGGTAATGCCCTTGTCCCTTGTACCCTAAGTTTGCGAACTCATTTCGGCACCTTTGCACGGAATGTTGAAAGGGTCCTGCACCCTAAGTAGGAA